ATAATATATCTATATACAGAATTGAGAACATTTGATAAGCGCAAAGTGTGGCATTCACACTTACGTAACGTCTATATAAGAAAATTGAAAATACAACGTAGCACATAGATGTAACATCGATATATGAAATCATAATTCGGCGCAATAGTAGAGCGAACAATGTTGGCGCTTATCAAATGTAACATTTTGACGATCGTCTCCATTCCGTATATAGACATATCATCACTTAGAGATATATTATAAATATGTATAAAAAAAATATATTTTTTCTTATCGTTTTCATTTCATATTATGAATGCTCTGCTTTATTTTCGCACGTATTTTCACCATGCAAAAAAGTTTTTAATTCGACGCAGGTAGAAAGAAATAAACTTTGCAGAAAGATTCGATGTCGTGATAATAACTATTCAGTATCGTTTTCGCCTCATATTGTTGGATGCTCCGCTTTATTTTCGCACGTACTTTTACTATGTAAAATTGTTTTTAATATAGTTCAATCAATAAGACGTAATCTTTGCAAAAATATTATTATTTTGCCTGAAATTTTGATTATATATGTTTATATGTATATATATAATGCCGCGACATCGCGATAAACAGTTGCGTGGGCTCTGAGAAAACTATATATATACTCAGACAACACAAAGACGTTTTAAAAACGTATTAAAAACGTATGTATTGAACGTTGTGTACATATTTAAAACGCCCATTTCAGATCCGCAAATGTTTTTAGGACATTTTAAAAACATCCATGGTTACTTTTATGGATGTTCAAAAGACATCCGAATTAAGGACCCATCGGATCAAAACTGGACGTTCTTAGAACGAAAATAGAATGTTTGTAATTTTCAATATTGAATGTTCCTAACCACCAAAAGAATATTTAAAAGACATTTGAAAAAGCATTTTTAAAAACGTTAAAAATAATGAGATACCCAGACAGCACAAAATATTTATAAAATATTTACAAAATATTTATAAGATTTATTTGAATATTTTATAAATATTTATTTTTTATAAATATATATATATATATATATATATATATATAGTTATATATATATATATATATATATATA